TCATCATCATCATCATCATCTCTTCATCCCCACCTTCATCATCATCAGCACCTCTTCATCCCCACCTTCATCAGCACCTCTTCATCCCCACCTTCATCATCAGCACCTCTTCATCCCCACCTTCATCATCATCATCATCTCTTCATCCCACCTTCATCATCATCAGCACCTCTTCATCCTCACCTCCAGCTGGACTCCTCAGAGTAAAACCAGCATCCAGCCCAACAAACGAGGTTTTCAGACAGAGGCAACATCTCAGAGGAGGCAGCAGCTCTGTGATTACTGACCGGTACCGGGGCCAATCACCAAGGGACAGAACCGGCCCGGTCCAAAGACAAACGAACCCAAATCCCCCCCACAGACAACCAGACAGCTCCTACCTTCCTGCACCGCCTGGAACGGGTTGTTGGGCTCGATGAGTTTAATGGAGTGGGTGATCTTCTCGCTGTGCAGGACGTCGTCACTCAGACCGAGGTCCGACACGGCCAGCTGGAACACCTCGTCGTCCCGCACGGCGTTCTCCTCAAATATCGCACCTGGACAGGTAAACAAACAAACCCAGGAGTCAGAACTGAACAATTAATTCAATTCAATTCAAAAACACTTTATTAATCCCAGAGATTAATTATTTGTTGTTGTAACTCGTTATCCTCATTTCATTAAGAGATGTTATAGATGCTGATGCTGTAGACAGGAAGGATCTCTGGTAAAGGTCCATCCCACAGTGGATCCTAAGAAACTGGTTGCAGATGCCGTCTGATCCGTCCACCCAGACTAGGCTGGCCTCTCAGTTCCCCCGGGCTGTAGGACCTCCTGAATGCAGAGCAGAACTCCTCCCACAGTGATGGCCACTCCTCCCAGCAGTCTGCCGAGCTCCTCGTCTCTGTGGACAGCCAACTGTAGGTGCAGAGGGACGATCCTGTCCTTCTGCTGTCATGAGCCGTGTTTCCTGCTAGTTCCAGGATCTCAGTGGTCAGGCACTCGAGCACAGCTGGCAGGTAGATGAGAATGCATCCACATAACATCCTTTTCAACTCATTTGAGAGTTGGGGCCGTAGTTGAGATATTATTTGAGCTTTTGAGATGTTAATCGGCTGTTGGTTGTAGAAAACTGCCTTGTTGCCATGGTTACGCATCATAACAAATGTCCAAAACTAAAAAAGTTTCAGTAAAAATCCTTCCAGCTGCACAGCATCTGATACCAGAGGAAACAATCATCCAACAAATGTGCTTTACATCCAGAACAACAGGAATTAAAGTTTCCAAAAGAATTAATCTCAGAATGAAAGAGAGCTGCTCCAACATGCAGCCACCTGGAGCGGCGCTGCTCTAGAACTTATCCAATTAGTGCAGGAAACGAGTTTCTGGGAGCTCAACACAAACAGCAGCGCCATCAGGAAACGGTTTTCATTCTCAAGACTCCAGGTGCTCAATGACCCTGGAATAAATAAATCACCGAAGCACAAAGACTCCGGTTTACCTGAAAATTACATTCAAGGAGCAGCAGAACCTTCAGCTGAGGAGCAAAATTACCAAGAAGTTTTTGTACTAAACGTTAGAGGAGAGGCGTGAAAGAGACGGAGGAGACCATGAATCCTGACACCTGAAACATTTACAGATCATTTTACGTCTCCGTGACGATGTAACATTTCTGCACAAAAGGTCTTCAAACACCAGACAGGAGTCGTCATGACGGGTTCAACAGGACGTGAGCCTTAAACACCTTCAATGATACAGATTTATTCAAGGTTTTCCAGGCAGATGTTTACAATGATGCTAAGGTTTATGCTGGTGAAGCTCCTCAGTCATCCAGGACAAGATAAGTTCAGGACAAAACAACTGGACTTCATTTGTAACAGAAGATGTTTCACTTCTCATCTGAGGAGCTCTCACTTCAGAGTGTTAGAAGTAAATAAGATCCTAAAGTTTATTTCTTCAATCTGCTGATGAGGCTTTCCATCAGTGCTGAAACAAACGTTAGGAAGCCATCTTCTTTTTAAGATCTCTAACTCTCACTGCATCACTTTGAGTTTTAATAGCCAGTTTAAATCATTTAGTGATCACAGGAAGTTCGGTTTGTCCTCGAAGCATCTTGGACACTAAATATTTTATCCTTTCAACATTTTTTCATGATGCTTTGCCAACATGAACCTGCAGCAACTGCTTCATTTAGACGCTTTGGGTGGTGCACGAAAATAAAGACGGGGGGGGGGAGCACTTACAGCCACAACAGAAGGGAGGGCGTCTTCTGATCCAAGGGTCGGAGGTTCGATTCCCAGCTCTTAAAGCATGCGGAAGTGCCCTCAGGCAAGACATCATCTTCCTCCATCTCTGTCCTCTGTCCTCACTCCAACTACCTCCATGTCCTCTCTAACTGCATCCATATATCTCCTCTGTCCTCCTCTGGACATGTCCAAACCACTGTCCCTCCTCTGGACATGTCCAAACCATCTCAGTGTGTCCTCTCTAACTTTATCTCCCAGTTGTTCAACCTGTGCTGTACCTCTGATGATCTCATTCCTCATCTTCTCCATCCTTGTCTCTCCTAAGGAGAACCTCAACATCTTCATTTCTGTCACTTCCAGTTCTGTCTCCTGTCTTTTTGTCCATGTCTCTGTCTCCAGACCATACAACATAGCTGGTCTCACCACTGTCTTGTAAACTTTTCCTTTGACCTTTGCTGACACCCTTTTGTCACAAATCACTCCGGAAACTTTTCTCCATCACTCCATCCTGCCTGGACTCTCTTCTTCACCTCTTTACCACACTCCCCATGTTCCTGGACAGTGGACCCCAAGTCCTTGACGTCCTGCTGCTCCTTGTAGCCTCACTGTCCAGTCCAGAAGTGGCGGAGCTGCGTGGAGGATTTGGTAGGGGAGGCGCTCGGTTCTGTTGACCAGGCAGGGTGCCCTTCTTGAATAATGGTACGTGAAACACTGCTTTTTCTAAAACCAGAAAGACACAATGAAGTTCTTTCTGACTGTCGAGACATTTTTGGTCAAAGGTTATGGATGTTTTTATTATTATGGCTGAGAACAATATTCCCCTCTGCCCTGAACACTTTCCCACTCTTCCCATCACACCCGCATCACTTGTTAGAACATTACCATTCCTATCTTTAACAAGCCTAACCAGCTGCACATCCTTTCTAGCCTGATCCCTCTGTCTTGTCAATCAGTACCAGTCCTTCTCGCCCTCTTTAGTGTCCAGTCTCCCATACAACTCATCGTACATCTTCTGCTTTGTCTTAGCTACCTCCCTCTTTGCTCTGTGTTCCATCTCCTTATATTCCTGTCTCCTCTCTTCAGTCCTCTCTCTGTCATACAGGTATTTCTTCTTGACTAACCTCTTTCTTTGAACATCTTCCTGCACTTCACTATTCCACCACCAGGTTTCCTGATCATCCATTCTCTGTCCAGATGACACACCAAGTACCTTCCTACCTGTCTCTCTAATTACTGTTGCTGTAGTAGTCCAGTCATCTGGAAGCTCTTTCTTTTGTTTATTTATACATTTTTATTGACATTTATAAATATAGTTAACATAATTAATATTTAATACTTCAATTATTAGTAGAGTATCGATTTAAATGTTTTTAACAAGAAAATAAAAAAACAAAAAACTAATACAAAAAAACCCACTGATACAAAAAGGGGGTTGAAAGTGTTTTTTGTTACAGTATCATTCAGAAATTGCTGGTCTATATCTGGTCTGCGTGATTTTATATAAACCATCCGTTTCTTCCAGCACAGAATAAATCGGTCCTTTGCACCCTTCTGCAGTTATTCTCTCCATCCTGTGTCCATTGTGATGTCCATCCATATGTTCAATGTTGGGTTCTCCAGTGAAAGCCAGTTTTTTGTGAGGGCTTTTTTGCACGCGACTAATAAAATATTAAACAGATATTTATCCATGTTTGACCATCCTTCAGGCGCGAGTCCAAAAAACAAAACTTTACTTTCTAAAGGCAGTTGACGTCCAATAATATCTTGTATCGCTTTATGTGTCTCCTTCCAATAAGTTCTAATTACTTGACAGTCCCAAAAAATATGGTAATGATTTGCAATTTTATTTCCACAGTTTCTCCAGCAAGTTGGAGAGTGACCTTTATAGTGGGATTTTTGGTAGTGTGTAATAAAATATCAAACTTTACCACCCAGAGCCTTCAACAATCCTCAGTGAACGCCTCGCACCAAACAACAGTAAATAACATTTTAATGAGCGGTTTCACAGACTCTACATGTAACACTCCATCACCTGGGCTGACAACACTGTGGTCCAAACATGAGACGCTTTTCACCTGAAAATGGTTTAAATTACATTAAACTGATTCATCATTACTTCAGAACATGAAGTTTATTTTTTATTTTACAGAGAACAGTCCTAAAGAGGGTTCTGCATGATTTCTCAGCACTTTAACTCCGTTTGTTAAACTTTTAATTTAATCAAGTGTCCAGCAGCTGAAACTGTAATTAGCTCTCAATTAGCATCAACGGCTAACGGCTGTAAGTTCTCATTTTAAATTAAACTTACCGACAGTTAAAAACAAATCAATAATCTGCTGAACTAACAAACAACCGTTGCCAGACAAAATGAATCAAACATAAACACTTTGTTGGACATTTTAGTTTGAGACAAACTTTTATTTACCGTCTGCTTCCGGTTGTCCGATAATCCAAGCACCCTTAGCTTGATGCTAACGCGGGTTAGCATGCTAACAGACGCTCTTTAACAAACCTAGATCGGTTCCGAACGGCCCAGACACACCACAAACCAGCCAGTAAGTCTGTACTTTACATGTTGTCAGTCTACAGGTCCCTCTTGTAAGTGAGTCGTCACGACTCAAAGAGGCCTACATGTTGAATGAAGAGGACTACATGTTGAATGAAGCGCCTGACACAAGACGTTTCATGGGCCAACATGAAGGCCGCTGATTGGCTGTGGCCTGGTGATTGACAGGCATGTCAACCAATCAGACGTCGGCTGTGAACCTTAATGATCACAACCACTAATCAATAACTGAGACAGATTCTAAATGAGAGTTTAATGTTCTATAAACATACTTGGAGAGATAAAAGAAAAAAATACAAAGTTAAGCTGATGTGAGGTTTACATGTTCGTCCTCACAGCTGATGTGAGGTGTACATGTTCGTCCTCGCAGCTGATGTGAGGTTTACATGTTCGTCCTCGCCGCTGATGTGAGGTTTACATGTTCGTCCTCGCAGCTGATGTGAGGTGTACATGGTTTACATGTTCGTCCTCGCCGCTGATGTGAGGTTTACATGTTCGTCCTCGCAGCTGATGTGAGGTGTACATGGTTTACATGTTCGTCCTCGCAGCTGATGTGAGGTTTACATGTTCGTCCTCGCAGCTGATGTGAGGTTT